AGAGGGCAGCTTGAGTTGTGACTATTTCAGAGAGAGAGAGAGAGGGGGGGGAGGGGGAGGGGGAGGGAGATTGAGAGAGATCTGGAGCAAATAAATCTGATTGTCTCCTCATTGCTGCCCTCAGTTAACACAGTGCTTGTTCCTCTTTGATGTCAGGTCAACATCAGCACCCAGGAGCTTTGGGAGGAAATGCTCAGTTCCAGAGGAGTAACTGGTAATTTAAGACAATGTTTTCTATCCATTCTTTTCAAAATTGCTAAGTGACAGAGTGAACCATGAAGAGAAAAAATCTGCAGTGGCCACCATTTTCCTACAACCTTGGGTTTCATGAATCAAGAACCAGGTGATTTCTTTGTACATCTATGTACATCTGGCTTGAACATCTGTTGGTAAGTTCAGTACAGGCAACTAGTCAGTACTCGCAGATAACAGGGTTCCCTTGTTTTAGAGCCGATTGTCATACTCAGGGGTTGTTTGGTGCTAAGGAACAGAACCCTCTTCTAATGACCTGAGGCACAAAGGGAATGCATTGGAAGGAATGTGGGAAGCTCTTGGAACTCAAGGGCTGGAAGGAGAGCCCGGCATCCCAAGGGACTGGAACCAGGGACTGCACAGTCACTTGAGAAACAGCACAGCCACTGTCCCTAGGCCTCCTTGTCCCCTATTCTCCATGTATCAGTTATCTACTGCTGTGCAACAATTTAGCCCAAAACTTTAAAACAACAAACAGTTACTATCCCCCCGTTTCTGTGGGCCCCGAATCCAGGTGTTGCTTAGCTGGGTGCCTCTGACTCGTAGTCCCTCACCAGGCTGCATTAAAGGAGTAAGACAGGGAATATCAAGGCTCAGCTCGGGTCAGATTCGTTTCCGAACTTGGTCATGTGGCTTTGGCAGATCTTACAAAGTCATTTCCAAGTTCATTCATGTGATTATTGGCAGGATTCAGCTTCTTGCTGGCTGTTGCTCAGAAACATCAGTTTCTCCGTAAGGCTACTCACAATATGGTAACTTGTTTCCCCCAGAGCAGGGCTTAGAGAAAGAGAGAGATGAAAATCATAGTGTTTTTGTAGCCTAACCATGTTTTGTTTGTAGGAGCCAGTCACTAGGTCCAGCCTGCACTTCAGGGCAGGGCACAAAGGCATAAATCCCAGGAGACGGCATCACTGGAGGAATCTTAGAGGCTTCCTATCACACCCCACTCCCCCGTTATCTCTCTCTTTCACTTACTCTAGATCTGTCTGGGCTCCATGTCTCTCTGTGTGTCTGCGCAGTTCTCATCTCTATGAACACACCAGCTCAGTCAGCTTGAATCTGCTCTTACCTCTCTGCATTGCCACCACCTATCACTGCAGCATTCAAGCCCCCTCTCCTCCCCTCTCTCAGGACTCAATCTGTCTTTCTAGCCCCAGAACCCACTGTTCCCTCAGCTCCAACCTGTTTCCTGAACATGCCACAAGTTTTCCCACTTCTTCACTTTTATGCATGTTGTTCCTGCTACCAGGAATGTCATGGGGCCAGCACAACCTATAGAAATCTTGCTCATTCCCAGGCCCAGCACAAAAGCGGCCTCCCTGCAGGAGACCTCTCCTGAACCTCTGTGTCCTCACTTCCCCCTGGGAGCTTCTAGAGCATTTGGGGGTGGGGGAACTCTGTCTCAACCCCCCGCCCCCAGCACACACCCAGCTTGGTGTTCCCTGTCTACAGGCTCTCGTGGCTTTCCCCATAGACTTTAAACCCTGTGGCATTGTCATGTTCTTCTCCACCTGTCGCAGACTTGTCCAGGCTGGGGGCTGAGCAGGTGCTAAATAAACCCTGGTTGCATTGCTCCATAGTGTGGATGGGAGTCTTGCCACACACTACTACTAAGAGTTACTAAAGCTTTTCTGATGGTGCCAAGTCTTAACTGCTGTGTCCATGTGTCTTGACTATGCAACTAGAACACGGCTCCAGGGCAAAACAACCATTACTTTTATTTCTTAACAACAGTACGAAAACTACTACTCATCAATGTTTGAGGATCTGCCGTGTGCCAAGTACCCTGCGTGACCATAGCTAACATCCAGTATGTGGGGGCTCTCTGCCAAGCCCTGCTCTAAGCCATGCAAGGGCCTGTGATGACTGAAGGCAGCAGGGGCTCGTGTGCCCCTTCTCATCAGGCAGCCTCCAGGAAGATTGCTCTTCCCTCTTTCTAGAGCCAGCAGAAATGTGCTTCCAAAGTCAGCCTCCATCTTGGAAGGCTTGCCCTCTGCTGGCTCACTTTCATCTGCCTTCAAGCATACAATCGTCTATTCAGATTTATACACACACACACCCCTTTTCATTTTCTCTGCCATTGCTTTCCTTCCAGGTGTCTTCTCTGTTTTTGCTCCCTGTCTTTTAGAGTCAAGCTCTCCATATATTTCCTCTCTAGCCCACCCCCGACCCCTTTGTCCACACCACTCCTTGGAGAGCCACGGTGTGCAAGAGGTGATGGGAAGCTGATACAAATGACCGGGCTGACCTATCAATGCAAATCTGACACAGAGAGTTCTAGCTGACTGGGCCCCAATTCTTTTCCACTAGGGCTTGAACCCGCTGTGTCCTTGGTGGGCCTGGTTACAGGGTCCTCTAAGTCTTTAAGGACTTTTCCCTAGCTGACCCAAATGCCTTTCTCGCCCATTACTCTGGTGTGCTGAAACTCCCAAGTCCCTCAACTGTGAAGCTGTTCTCCTCAAAGAAACCCACAGCTTCACCCTGTCCTAGGTGCCCAGGAACCCCAATCCTTCTCCTGCCCCTGCTGATGTCTGGTTGCCTTTGGGACTACCTGCTTAGATACTCTAGTTGGTACTGGAAACTCAGCGTGTCTAGAATCGAGTTCACTTTTCTCCCTGAATCAATCCCTCCCTGCCTCCACCTACGTCTTTTTCTCTGCCAGGCTCAAACGTGGAGTCCTTTCCACACCCACATGACTTTCACCCCCAGTCCTTCCGCCTCCTTTTTCAAAGTCTCATGGGTCCCTCCATTCCTTCCCTCCCATCCCAACCACCCCCCCTGTGTCTGACTTCCTCATCCCTCCAAACCCAGCTTGGTTCTCACTTTCTTTCTGCCAAACTGTGCTGCGTGGCTGAACCAATCAATATTCCTGAATTCGTTCATCTTGGCTTCTTTCTTGGAGCAGCTGAAAGAGCTGGGCTATGGCATCGGATAAACCTGGAATCAAAGCGTGGTTCTGCTGCTTGAGCATTTTTATTTTTTTTACCTTGAATCAGTTACTTCACCTCTTTGAATTTCAGTTTCCTCACCTCTATAGTGAGATAATAGTACGCATATCATGGGGGGTTTTTTGGTTTTGTTTTGTTTTAGAGAGAAGCCAAGTGCAGATACCCTCTTGCCGCTCGATAAATATTAGCCCCCTCTCCTTTCTAAAGCTTACTGTGAATCCTCATTGCCTAGGAAATGAGGATGAAACCGCCACACTCCTCCAGCGGCTTCTACCAGCAGTTCCCACACCCTGCCCCCAGCAGGTCTGGTCCAGAAAGCTGCCCAGGGCCCCTGGACCCCCATCCTGTGCCTGGCCACCCATACTTCCCACCATGGCCTCC